TATATATATATACAAACAATTAAGTAATTATTACCGATATTTGGTCTTTTAGGGCCGTTCTACATAGTGGGCCATTTAAAATTTGGAATTTAATTTGGCTCTAAAAAAAAAATGCATGAATATTTTTCAAACTTTATGGCTTTATTGGAAAGGTAGTACATTGCCATTAAACATGAAATACAATTTCATTCAAATGACTTCCACAGCTGGCTGCACAATATCTCATTCTATCAACCCAATTTTTCAGTACATTTTCCACTGTATGGGCGCGTATTTCATCAACTTTGATTTCATGTTTTAATTCTTGAATCATTTCTGGCTGGTTAGCGTAACACTCATCCTTGACAGTAAAATATAATCCCCATAAAAAATAATCCAGCGGAGTCAAATCGCAGCTGCGAGGCGACTAATTGACATCAGCATTTCGGCTGATTATGCGATTTTCAAAGACAGTGCACAAAAGATCGATTGTAGCGTTGGCTACATTTTTGCGTTGGCACAATTGTGGCAAGATACGCCGTCCTGTTGAAACCAAATGTTGTCTGTGTCCTCCTCTTCAAATTTGCGAAGCAAGAATTCGTTTAGCATGGCGTGATAAACATTGACAGCTCGTTTTCGAAGAAAAATGGCCCAATGATGCCGGACCAAAAACCACACCAAACAGTAGATGCATCGGCTTCTCCATGATGACATACGGATTCTCTGACCCCCAACGATAATTCTGCTTGTTCACATAGGTGAAAATGAGTTTCGTCAGAAAAGATGATTTTTCGGTAAAAATGCTCATCTTCAACCAGCATTGTTCAGCCCATTGGGCGAACCGAAAACGCATCGGATGGTCATGCAGCTTCAATTCTTGCACTAATTGAACTTTGTATGGCTTCATATCGAGGTCTTTATTCAAAATTCTTCTCAAAGAAGTGCGTAAAATGTTCAAGTTTTGAGAACAATAGCGAGTTGGTTGTTCAAGCACACTCTGAGCAACAGCAGCAATGTTTTCGGTTGACCTTACTGGACCTTACGAGCATGTGAACGAATTGCTTTATCCAATAAGAATCCAGTTTGCCGAATTCGTTTCACAAATTGATCCACAAACTGCGTTGAAGGCATTTCTTTTCCACCAAATTTTCCACGTAAATTTCTTATAGTTTGGGTTGAAGACTCATCACTTTGGAAGTAAGTTTTCAATATTTCCCAATTTTGTTCAAGCGATATAGCGACCCATTTTAAATATCAAACAAAAAACTAAATTTCTGATACGTCATAAATATTATTACGCCTTTCAAACTTAAAATAACCGGTAGTTGAAATTCTAAACGCTAGATAGTCCACCCTATACAGCACATAGAGAAGATATAAGATCAGTAATTACTTTTTAATAAGTCATAAAAAATTGATCAATTATAATCGAATGCGAGAAAAATATTTGACTGTAATTGGTCAATTTCTTGATGAGGCTTAAAACATTTATTGTAGATCCGGACTAAGACTTATGACAAGAGATAACCAATCAGAAAGCTGTATTAGCATCTTAAGAAATTACTTAAGATGGTCTTAAAATATAATAACAGGTTACAAATATACAATCTTAGTCTTATTATATTTTATTATTTTCCTAAGATATTTAAAAGAGAAAAATTTTTTAACTTAAAGAAAAAGTTAATACTTAAAAATAACTTAGTTAAGTTAAAATTTAATGCATTTAAAATTAACTGAGTTAAATTAAAAATTATTAACGTTTTAATTTTTTTTTTAACTTTTAATGTTTTAACTAATTACTACCCAACTTTGTGTATCACATGTTAGTTCGTTGACATTGGATGGGGTTATATAAATACGTTTTCTTTATTATCACTGATGAAGTACTTTATTATCACTGATGAAGTAACTTTGTAAGTCGAAACGTTTGAAATTTATAGCGTTATACGAATGTAATAAATTAGTAAATATCCCTACCATCAAATAACTAAAAAAATTAACATTTATAAGTAACTTAGTTAAGTTAAAATTTAATGCATTTAAAATTAACTAAGTTAAGACGAATTTTATTAGTTAACTATATTTACTCGTTTTTTTAAAAGCCTTGACATTTTAATTTATTGCATTGCATTTACATGAGCCTACTTTTCTATATAAAAGTTATATTATATTATATTATATTTTATCGTA